TAAATCGAAGGCAGCAGTGCACTTTGTGCATGGGCACATTATAAACAATTAAAATACGAGACATCTTATGGTTTTATAAAATTGTTAATTTGAAAATTTACAAAATAAAGGTCCAATCCTGCAATGGATTGATCCCCATCTTGTCTATATCTGATTGCAGGATCAGAATGCAGGTGAGCTTGTCTCTAGGATCCTGGTCAGAAATTGCATGCATTCTTGCCTGGGACTGCTTTTTCCTCCAGATCAAGCTATTCAGAGGAAAAAAAATGTACCCAGCCACCTGTACAGCACAGGGTTTGAAGAATTCTATAAACAATCCTTTACCTTTCATGCTGGCTGGACAAGAGAAATATTCCAAAAATGTCAAGGGATCCAAAGCTTCTGTTTTGAAGCTAGCTTCTGCCTCGGGCTAGCACAGGAATGGGCGCTGGGCCACATTATAATAGTACTTTGCCAGCTTCTCTATCTTCAAACTCCTTATCAAAGCAGCAGAATTCAGCTGATCCAAAACTATTATCAATAGGTAACCTGTATCTTGAGTTATGCTCTGCTCTCCCATTGCACACAAAGGCTATTCTTAGAGAAACCGCATCACCACTATGACAAAACCCTCGCCGTCCAGAAATTTATTTTTCACCATCTATTTTTTTTATGAGTTATGAATCTCATGAGGCAGGGCAAAGTGGAAGAATACTGTCCCAGGGTACAGTATCTGTCCAAGAAGACAGTCCTTGAAATAGTAACCGCAACCTTTTCATATCATCTTCTCTAGGAGAGGGTCCATGGGTTGCCAGTGTTTAACAGAGCATCCCAATCCAAGCTGTAGGGAAACACAACAGAGCAAAGCTCCTGAGACCAAGGGGGAGGACTCCAAGGGTATGTCCACACTGCAAAAACAAAAATAGCAGTGTAGACATTCCTGGTAGGGCTCTGAAATCCCCCTCCCTTGCTGGGTCTCAGAGCCTGAGCGGGAATGTTTACACTACAATTTTGAGCCCCCGAACACGAGGTCTGAGAGCTGCAATTAGTGGACCCAGGCTTTCAGACTTACTGCTGCAGGGCTGTTTGGTTTTTTGGGGTTTTTTTTTTTTTTTTTTTGCAATGTAGTACACTCCCTCAAGAATGGAGAGAGGCAGAGCCCTAGCACCATGAGGTCTGCACATGACCAAGTCCACCCCTGAAAATCACAGACGCTGCTCTCACCTTTGTGGGGCTCACCCATGCCAGTGGACAAGCCACATCCCAAGCATCTACATGCATGATCTGGGTCCCATAAAAACCCAGGTTACCTTGGAACTGATCAGTATTCTGCGGACAGCAACCTTCCAGGAAAAGTTCAGACGGCGACAGTCACTACTCATTTTGTTCTAATGTTATTTATATTGGGTTAGCACCCCGAAATCACAAATTGGGCCACAGTGATAGGACTTTACACACACATCCCTACCCCTACCTAGAAAGGCCCTGTTCATGCCTTGGAAAAAAACACAGTCTAAGAACCTAAGAGCTAATGCCACTTTCCAGCTCATTGTGCTACTCCCCCTTCCTTTCCTCCACTGCCAAAACCAACCTGACTTTATACCAGTCCCTTGATTCTTCCCATTCATAAACTGCTGGGACTCCACAATATACACATCACCTGGGATACAGTCATACTCTCCCTGTTCCTCCTTCTGCACAGGATAATAGAATAATCCCCAGGAGCTGTAAATTGGGGGTCAGGTTATCAACGACTATCTAGTCTCTCATGCCTCTTACTCATCATCATCAGGGAGAAAGGCATAGTTTTAGATCCTATGGAATATTACTGAATCCTTGCTCTGAAATGTTTGATCTTCTCTCTTCTCAGCTACAGAAGACCTTGTTTTGGTGCCAGTGCTCTGAGGAAGGAAGGGGGATATCTGCTAGCATCTCTGTACTCTGGTTTGGCTGTGAAGAAGGGACAGATGTGACACAAACAGGTCTTTTTTCAGCTTCACACCATCCCTGGAGTGCGAACATCCAAGCTCCAAGGCAATAAACACAGCGTCTGTAAGCACCGACTTTGTACATTTTCCTTGTCATAAAGAGAGACGAGGTCTCTTCTTTCCCTTGGCCCAAAGCCAGCTATCCTATATTAATCAATCATAGAATATCAGGTTTGGAAGGGACCTCAGGAGGTCATCTAGTCCAACCCCCTGCTCAAAGCAGGACCAATCCCCAACTAAATCAGCCCAGCCAGGGCTTTGTCAAGCCTGACCCTAAAAACCTCAAAGGAAGGAGATTCCACCACCTCCCTAGGTAACGCATTCCAGTGCTTCACCACCCTCCTAGTGAAATAGTTTGTCCTAATATCCAACCTAAACCTCCCCCACTGCAACTTGAGACCATTACTCCTTGTTCTGTCATCTGCTACCACTGAGAACAGCGGAGCTCCATCCTCTTTGAAAGCAGCTATCAAATCCCCCCTCATTCTTTTCTTCTGAGACTAAATAATCGCATTTCCCTCAGCCTCTCCTCATAAGGCTCCAGCCCCCTAATCATTTTTGTTGCCTTCCGCTGGACTCTTTCCAATTTTTCCACATCCTTCTTGTCGTGTGGGGCCCAAAACTGGACACAGTACTCCAGATGAGGCCTTACCAGTGCTGAATAGAGGGGAATGATTGAGCAAGAAAGTTCTTTATTGTGGTTTTGCTATTCTGAGCAAAGTTGGTTACCTTAATATTTCATGTGTCTTTTTATCAACAGATATCAAACAAGCACCATTAAAGATAAAAAAAAATCAATCTATACCTCAGAATCTGATTTTAATGAGGTATTTGCTCTATCTTGTAAACACAGAACAGGAAATACCATAGATGCCAGTGTAAATTGAACTACCACTGGCATAAATGCAATTTATATTTGCACCAACTGTGCATTGTCTCAAGAAAACACCACAGAGGTCATGCATGCAGAATTTTCCCTTTGTTATATCTACCCTTTCCTTCAGTTCTTTTGATGAGTGCACACACACACACAAATTATTGTGTAGCTGATCATAAAATAAAAAATAATAATAATAATAAGGATGAACGGTGAAGAGATGCGTGTCTCACTGAGGCTTTAATGTTGTTAGAGGTGTATGACTCTCTGGATTTAGAGAGAGGTTTTGACAAACCTGTCCAAAATGTAACGCCAGTCGCACATACCCATTTTAATTAGCACCGATTACATGGAATGAAGCCAAAACCTGTGTCTGCTTCTTCCAGTACACAAGAGGAAGAGAATGGTTTCAGGTAAGTCCAAAATGCGATGGAATTCATAACTTCTCCTTTTTAGAAGGGAGCAGATTAACCCGTGATGGTCTACCATCTGTCAGAAACATGACAGCAGTGCTGTGAAAAATGTGTCTCTTAGAAGATCTCTCAATGGTTGTAGGTGTGTAAGCAAGGTTACTGTTCCTTCTTTGGATTTCCAACCATAAATCATAAGAACCACCTTAAATATCTCACCTAATACTTAACCAGAATTTAATTTTTTTTAAAAATTTCAATAATTTCACAATAAATATAAATCAAAATATTCACTGCATAAGCAGAAAGTGATCATCCCCAAACACAAACATTTTAAATAAAGAGACCTTTAGGATAGGTTTTGAAAACAAGCTTTACTTAGTTGTCATGAATTACTAACCAGACAAAATCTTTTTTGTTGCCATTTATATATATTTGATTCCCCAGTTTCAAAAAAATCAGACTGACACTTATGTCTCTTGTACAAATACCCAACCTTTTAAAAAATGTTTTGGGCATTATAAATACATTTTTTCATGAATATGGAAATAACCATTCTATAAATAGCCATTTTACAGAACTGCTTCAAGGCATTGTTTTTACAGACAACAGTAGGAAACTGAAGGGTACGTGAATAAACTCTCCAATCAACTCTGGGTCATTTTTTAACTCCAGACTTAAGTACATGCTTAAGTGTTTTGCTGAATCAAAGCCTAAAAGGGACATTATATTTAAAGAGGACCATGTGGTATAGAGAACAACCAAAATAAAAGCCTTTTTGCAACGCCAAAGAATTATTTGTAAAGACTTGAGGGTGAGAGGGTGTGTTTTGAAAACTAAGTTTCAGCAGCCTTGATGCTTCAGCCTTGTATACCAGCAAAAAACACTAACAGAAAATGAAAACTGTACAGAAGCAATTACATTATTCTAATATTTTCTTTTGTAACAGGCAACAGATACAAGATAAGGTTACTTTCTAACAAGGTACCACCACAATCCATCTTCGGGGACAAGAGGAACTAATTTCTTCATAATACTTGGACTGTGTTTTTCCATTGAATCGCTATGACAGCATATTGACAAGAGATCAAAGGCCTGATGCGCCACTGTATTGCTCCACTTTCACCCTGGTGTAATGCCATGGATTCTTCTGCGGGAAACAGGACAGCACTGGAATGACACTGGTGTAAAATAGGAGCAATGCAGCAGGCTCTAAGCCTTCCCAACAAGCATACAGGAACATATTTAACAAGAGACCGAATCTCCAACACGGATTAATAAAAACATAGACCCACATCCTTAGTCGCAGCTGAGGAGCGCAGAGTAACTCAGCAGGGAGGTTTAAATAGGTGGCTTTAAACTCCTCCAATATTGGACCAACCACACCATGGAAAAAATCCTACTGACTTGAGCAGAGCCAAGATTTCACGCCAGATTGGTCCCCAGGTATAAATTGGAACACCTCTGTATTATGCCAGTAGTGGCCCCTGTCCACAAGGGGCCACTCAGGCAGCTGAGGATTGCCAATCACTCTCCTTCTTCCCAGCCACATGCCCTGTGCAGCAGGGGCTGGGGAGGAGCATGTATGCTTTCTCTACATCACAGAGGAGCTCTCTGCACTGCAGCGCTCCTTGGGCGTCCTCTATGCCAGAATTAGAGTGCAAAGCTTCCTGCCCAAAGCCCTATCGCACCAGCCCTATCGCACCGTATTGAAATCAATACGAAAAAAGGCATTTCTTCTCTTACCTTATTTTGATCTGTCCAGTAAAAGAAAAATCCATGTGGATCTGTTCTGAGAAGAATTGGAGTCACAACAGTGGAATCCTACAAAAAAAAGGGTAAACAATATGAACATTAAACTTGCAAGGCAGATGCCACAAGGCCGGGTCCACCTTATCTTCACTGTTAACAAATAACAGCCCTAACAGCCACCCTGAAGGTACCAAATCACAGAATGTCACTTACACAGTTTAATCCCACATCCCAAATCTCCATTCCGATGTCATAATATATTTCTAAGTAATTTAAATGTTTTCATGTTCTACATTCTGTATACGTGCAAGAGAAAGAGAGAGAGAGAGAATGTATCTGCCCAATCATGCTCAGTTATACATATTAAATTACTGTAGGAATCTTGTTAATTCTGTTTTCCATTTAAATACTTCCTGTTTTTGTCTGTAATTCATATATGCGTTTTTTATAACGATATGCATTTTTCTGAAAGCAGATAAAAATCCAATTGTAAAGTCCATGTGGGATCACTGAAAATTTTATTTATTAAAATTATTCGGAAAGTGGATGTATATTTCTCCTAACCAGTTACAGTTCCTGTAAAGCTTTGAAACTCAGCCATTTCCCACGCAACAAAAAATAAGGCCACATTCTACAGATCTTTAGAAAATATGGCTCCGATTGATCCAAGTTAAAATAAAATGTGCTGAACATTTAAAAAACAAAACAAAAACAAAAACAAACATAGAACACGATTTAATCATGTAAGTTGCAGTCTATGATATTACTCAACTTTCTTTTATTCCACAAAACAGATGCAATACAAATAAAAATTTTAAAAAGCAGGATAATGTTGGTCTGTCTTAAATGCTTATACGGCTCCTTTTACTGTAGTATCGGAGCACCTCACAATCTTTAAACATGCTTATCCTCACAACACCCCCACGACGTAGGACAGTGCTATTACCCTCCATATGGGGAAACAAGGCACAGAGAGGTTAACTGGATTTGTCCAAGGTCACACAAAGTCTGAGAGAGAGCAGGGCCCAGGGTCCCAATTCCTAAGAGAGGGCCCTCACCACTGGAGCATCCTTCCCCTCCATAGACAAGCTTTTAAAGACTGGGGATCCTGTCTGGACTGGAAAGGTATTAAATTTGCAGCGGCAAATACTATCTTAAGGAAAGTGATCCAACGCTGACCATCTCAGCAAGAGCCACTGGTCTTGAGAAGATAACCAGTGGCCTAGCCACCAGGGATCACAGAATGGGAGCCAGATGGCAAACGGATTTGCCGGGTCTTCCCACAGGGTACATCCTGCTTCCTACAGTGTTTACACAAGAGCATCCAGTGCAGCGGTCATGGGAGTCAGGGTAGGCCTCAATCAAGTGCTTTCCTCAGGGGTGGACTGTACTTCAGGGTCATCACTGTTTTTCCAACAACAGGGATGGAACAGTGATTTCCCTGAGACAGCTGCCTGCCTGAAGCAGCCATGTCACCTTATTTCCCTTGGCATCCACCCTGACAAGCACTTATTGGTCACACAAGGCCAATGCAGTACCAGTTTATAATTTGTTCTCACTGGCCTCTGTGGGTGAGGACTTGAAGACCCATCTTTCTGATTCGATCCTCCCCAGGGACCACCGCATGGGGAGAATGCAGTACGGGGGCTGGCTCAGTGGCATTTAGCTTGCTTTTTCTGACAAATTCAGTTGGGCTCGGACATTCCTTTGCTGACTGATCCATTAGCCGCTCAGCTTCACAGCTGATTTTTCCCCCTTCTTGTGTGAATGGATCAAGGGCGGTGTATAGAATATAATGTCTAATACACAACGGACACAAGCAGGTTGCTTGATTTAATTAAAAGTGATCCCATCGACTTGAAGTCTAGTCAGCTTTAAAAAAAAAAAAAAAAGAGAGAGTTGAGTAGTTTCAAGCACGACACTTGATGAACCATTTGTATTGCAGTGGTGCCTAGAAGCAGCATACAGGGATTGGAGCCCCCACTGTGCTGTGCAGTTCGCATACATAATAAAGAGACAATCTCCATCCCAAAGAATTTACAATCTGAACGTATGAGGAGGCAATAGATGAAGACGAACTAGTGAAATAATCATAATTGATACAATAAGCAAAAGTGACAGCATGTCCACCACTTAGCTATGGTCAAGCAATTGACAGCCATCATAACAACGGTGAGACATCTGCCCTCAATACCCTCACCAGTTTTTTTTAAATGGTTTTACAGTCTTTTAACTGTCCCCATTGCTGTATGAAAGATACATCCAAATAGGCAAATTTGACTATAAAGAGAAATAGTGAAACTGCTTGTCAAATGCACAAACACACACTGGAAAAATAATTTCTCTAATCCCTTTCTGTTATCTGTCAGCTGTCATTTGTATCAACGGGGGTGGGGAGGGGGAAGGGAGGGAGAGAAACAGAGAAGTGTGAACAGTGTCCCTGAAAGAAGTTTTCATCCCAGCATAAGGACATATACTTTATAGAACCAAACTCTATGTTTCTTGTGGATGCACAAGGAATGCAGCATCAAGCCCTTAATGAGGATTACCTGACAAAAGTAACTGACATGTGACATTATCTGGTTAATTGGTTAATTATCTGGTTAATTGGTTAGTCTCTAAGGTGCCACAAGTACTCCTTTTTTTTTTGCGAATACAGACTAACACGGCTGTTACTCTGAAACCTGTCATTATCTGCTCTGGGGACATGATTATTTATGGAGTATTTTATGTCAGCTTTACAAAGCACATAATGCACAATTCAAATACCCTTACTCATATTCAGTAGCACCTTACCGCACAAAACACTTTAATTCAACAGATAACACGTGAAGGTCTGAGGAAAGTCTATGTCCTTGCCCTGAAAGTATTACAGTTCAACTCAGAGAAGCACACACAACACAGGACACCCACAGTTCAGATGTAAGATCAAGGGGAAACATTGAGGGAAAGAAGCTATGGAAAGGTGGACAGTAATAAGGAAAGGAAACAAAACACAATGTGCTGGCTAGAATTTTGTTAAATGAAAACCAGAAATTCTCTCTCCAAACGTTAAAGTCATAGAACACAAGCTGGTAAGTCACACTAGGACATTAACTGTCCTGCGACAAGTGTCCTGACAGTCAACTGAAGGGAAAGTCTGATCCACTAAAAAAATACTAGTGGTACTGTGTATTAGCAAAAGACGTCACAACAAATTAAAAGTATGGAGGGAGACAAGATATTTTGCTATGATTCAGCAATGCATTTGGGCACCTGCTTAACTTTCAATTTCAGTAGAACTTGTGCCTATGCTTAAATGTTTTGCTGAATAAAGATAAGAACACACTGGATTGTTTTCCTGAATCAGGGTCTTCCCCAAGTCCAAAGGATGCAATGTGGTTGCTTGTGTAAACCACACACCTTCTGGGTGTGGTGTTCTGTCCCATCTCGTGGCACCAAGACCACTTAGAAAGAGAGAGTTAAATGAGTCTGCTCTACAGCCTTAGCTAAGAGTCAGCTGGCTTTTAGCTTCTGTGGTAAAGGCTCATGCACTAAGGTCCTAGGTTCGATCCCACCTGCCGACAACTAGGGTCTGTCCATGTTACACTTGTACTAGATGCAATGGAAAATAAATCTAAAACAAACCTAATGAAGAAGAGATTGAGTGGATGTCAGTATCTGTAAAATACTATAAAAGTGCTCTGAAATCTGTTCCTTTCGAAAAGAAATTATTCACATCACGTAACTGCCTTTCCTCAGCCCACCTCTAGACATTTTTTGTGCCGTTTGTATGTAAACTGACAGCACAGTAAAAGAGATGCAAGTTGCTCCTCTGAAGGATGAGGCACACAGGACATTTGGAGGGGGCGGAGGTGTTGGGAAAGACAGGCATAAAGAGATTATGTCTAGGATTAATCCGTTTTGCTGGTTAATCATTCCAAATCAACTGCTTAAATCCAAAAGCTGTTTGGCTGCATCTGTGTGGACGATATACGGCTGTCAAAGTACAATTTTTCGAGTCTCAGGCTGTGGGACGCCAGCTACACTCAGCAGACTTCGTAGTGCCACAAAAAGAATTGCACCAAAGCCTCCAATCCCCGTAAAGTGACAAAACGGAATCTGCACCATGCGATGCATAAAGAGGAATTACACATAGAAGCTTTAATTAAAGCTTCTGAGTATAGTAGAAATTTTATTATATTACAAAATCAAAAGCTGTGCTAACAAAAAAAAATTTTCAGCTTTAAGTCAGGAAATGCAAAAGCAAGAACATTTTCTCTGCTCTGTTACTAATTTATAATAATTTCTACTCTTGTTTTTTATGTTAAATGCACTGCTCTGATATGACAAAACATTTTATGATGTGTATTACAACAGCACATAAAAGTCCCAACCAAAATTGGTGTCCCATTCGTATAAACACAGAGCCAGAGACAGTGCCTGCCCTATAAAACTTTTATTTACCATATCTAACTTTTTAAAAATGTTGTCTACAGATCTTCCTCACCCTTGTGGCAGCTGTGAGTGGCAGCAGCAGCAGCAAGGGCTGGGTTCAGATTGTCTCGACGTTCTTGTTTCTAAAATAAAACTGTGTCAAGCTCTCATCCAGAGCCATACTCCTATTTCTGGATCTGGGAACAGAAATAAAACTTCTCTGCTCACCTTTGCAGGATGCTCTTCCCCACTCACAAGACACTCAGTCTTTGGGACTATGGACCCACAAGTAGCTTTTTATTTGGGGAGGGGAAATCAATCAAAAAAACCCATGAAAACTCCCTATACATTTACACATAAGAAAATGAAGAACCTAAACCAGTGCATCAGAAGTTTGGTCAACCCCACCGTTCCAAGTAATAACTCTTTGACTTAGAAGATAAATATTTCATACACAATTGCTGTATTATATTTACAAATAAGATATTTTTGCACCCCGCATTGCTATGAGTCATTGCTGAGGAGTATCTTCAAACCCATTCATTCAGTTTTCTCCTGCACATAACTGACCCACTTCCCAACCTCCCCAAACGGAGCGGTTTTCCATCCACACCTACACAGACAACAAAACCGAGGAGACACAAAAGCACTTTATG